TGAACAATGATTCAAAACTGTATTCACATTAAAAAGAGGATATGAAAAACCATAAACAAAAACTTTTTACTTCAAAATGGCCCCATCAAAAACTAATAATTTACAACAAACATGAAAAATTAAATAACAATCAATAAAACAGGTAGCATTATTTTATGACAGAAATATTCTATCTGTGCTCACTTTATCATGAAATCACGAAACGTTTTCAGTGTTCCTGAAAACAACATTGGGTAAGAATGAAAAAAATAAATTGGAAATATATTTATTGCCATATAAAGAAAAGAGATTTATGTAAGCCTATTTCTAGGCTTGGTAAATCCATTTCAATTAAGCAATAAATATCATGGCTACAGTCTGAGCAGTATTACTGATGATAGTTATGACAGTGTTCAATTTTCAGAGGTATATTTATCATAATAATGTTTATCACCTAGCTCAAAAGGATGTTGTGAGGATTCATTAATATTTATACCCATTAGTGTTTTGGAAATAACAAACAATATGTTATTTTAATTTTTACACAACTAATTAAATTAGTATGAGGTCGTAATTGGACCATAAGCACAAAACCCATTTATTCCACATAACAACCAGACTTGGAGAAATAAAAAAAAAATAGTAACAACAACAACAGTTATATGTTTCTTTCTATAAATAATGCTTTTTTACTTCATTCACACTCTAAATACCAAGCCTAAGGTTTGCTCTGGGTCTTTCTGAGCTCTCTTTGGTCCCACCACTCATCTCAGAGATACAGGCAGGGAGAACAGAAATACTGAACTCACCACATGAACTAGGCTAAAAAATAATTATTGAGTGTGTTCTAATTACAGCAATGATTAATTCTTTCCAGCCATTTGGGATTTAAAAAGAGCATTTCTTTTACTGCAAAATAGGTAACAGCATCTTTTGTATCAGCTGCAAAAGCCTCTGAGCCCTAACTTTGTTCAGAAGCCTTTGCAGTTTGGTCCACGCTAATCAGCCAGAATTTCTGAGTGAAATTGCCCTTAACTTGGACAAACACAGTAATGGGCTGGTAAAATTGGAGAAAAAGAGCAAAAAAAGTTTTACAAGCAATCTTGGCAGCTTTAATTCCTCTCTTGCATGATGACAACACTGATTCCTAATAAAGGCAATTAAATACTCACAATTTAACATCTCACTAGGTCACTCCAGCAAACAAGTTTTCCTCTCAGATATTTCCTTTGTTTCTTTTATTCCATTACACAAACTCCACTGGTAACTGACTGCCACACAAAGATGCACAAGCTTCAGTTATTTTACTCTTACTTAAGTATTTACTCTTCCCTCAGTCACTGAAATGCCACGAGATCTAAGGGTTGCTTGGTCCCTTGGCTATTTGGGAGACCCCTTTTGGAGACCAGGGGTACCCACAGAGGTGGTGCCAGCCCAAAGAGCTGTGTGTATCCCCAGGAGGAGGCACATGGGGAGCACAGAGCCTGCCTGTCAGTGCTGCTGGAGCCATGGGCTGGGCAGGAGTGACCTTGGCCAGGCACCACCAGAGACATCTGTGAGCCTCTGTCCCTTCTGCTGAGCTGCTGCAGCCAAACCCTGTTTTGCCCACGTGTTTTGGGGTTATTAAATCCCATATCAGAGCCCACACACTTGTTTTGGTGAAGGATGGTTTGAAATCAAAGTTTCTCCATGGAGGTGTTTATTCCCCGATGCCTTCCCGAAATTTCACTCTGCTGTTTGAGCCTCAGGTTGCACCTTGTTGTGGTGTAAAGAAACTAAAAATAAATAGCAGAAAAACTGTGGGAGTATTTCAAGACAAAGAAGCTTGGTGCCTTTCCTGTGACCTTTCTAGAAAAAGAACAAATCTTCTGTGTTCAAGGTTAGAAAAGCTCCCTATTAGCACAAGGCTTACCCAGAATATTGCTGCCTGAAAGATTAAACTTCTGTAAATATAAGCACTGAAAAAAAAAAAAAAAAAAAAAAAAAAAGCATTTACAATGAAATCTGACAGCCAGACTAGCCAGAATGTACCCACACCAGGCTCACAGCTGTCTGCCAAGATTCCTGGGAGAAATATATTTTAAGGAACGTGCTTTAATTCATTATCCTTTAAAATGATGAAGTGATACAACAGGAAAACACACATTAGCTGCCTCAGTGTCTTTGCAAAATAGGTGTCTGGCAGTTCAGTGCTGTGTTATTCCAGTGTGGGTGTCACTGCTGTCACCCAGACCAACACTGAGCAGAGATGTTTCTGTGAAAATAAATAGAAAAATATAGAAGCAGCTATTACTGGAAGGAAATGACTTTGTGGCACTTTTCTTAAAAATATTCCGCTTCATTGGAGTGACACATTGTGCTCTCCTATTTTGATGTTTATTCCTGGCTGGTATTAAACATAGAGGCTGAATCCATTCATTTCAGAATTCAGACAAATTATTAATTCATACTATGCACATCAAAGCAGCACAACTGTACTGTGTAAAAAAAATGATGAAAATATCTATACTCACAAACAATTAAAAGGCAGCACATCACAATTTCAAAGGCCAAAAATATAAGAAGCAATTTCTGATGGCTAAAAAATATGTGTGCAATAATTCCAAGAAGCTCTTTTTTTGAAATTGTAGAATTAAATTTTAAAGACATGTCCTCTGCCAATACATCTCCTGAAATTTCCTTTTGACTTTGCAACAAGGACAACTGCCCAAGGCTTTGCTGATCAATTCCTTGTGTTGCAGAAAACAGCATAATTTGAATTTTGTCCAAGAATACAGTTTAAAATACTGAAAATGTGAAGAGCTAACTAACATGCAATTATTTGTATTCACAGTCTGCATACCAAGGGAGAAGAAAACTGAAGTAATAATCTAACTGTTATTGCCATTTTAATACAGAGAGCCACCCTTCATGGCTTAAGGCTGCAATAACCAAGACTGAACCCAACTACCCCTCTATTAGCGTGCTTCAAAACAGAACAAAACAAAATTCAAAACAAAACAAACCCACCAAATTTTCTTTTCTCCATCAACATGGATCTTAAAGGAATAAAAGAGAGTTTGTTTTGTTTTATTTTGCTTCAGGAACTCTTGCTACATATGAATATAGCAAGAACAATTTGCAATGTTCTCTTACAGTGAGTATATGCCACATCCTGAAACGTTCCCAAAAAATGTTTTCAGCTTTCCACTCTGGGTTTTCCTTTCTAGAAAACGATGTGGTGTGGTGCAGGGAGCACCTGGATTTGTGCTGCTCTCTCTTCTCCAGACAGGCATCTTAAGAACCACAAACTCAGTATTTTTCTGTACCTCAAGCTCACAGATCTGCAAGCACTGACATGCAGAGAGGAGGATGCAGAGGAAGCACATCCAGCCCATCCCTTTCCATTCCCATGGCTCTCCTGCCACATTGCCCACATCAAGCACTGCACCACAGACTGAACACAAAGTCTGGGCTGTAAAAGCCCCCATAAAACTGCTTCTTTCAGATCTTCAGTGTGCAGTCCTTTCAGTGGATAAAGGTTGAGAATAAAAATTTAAATTTATTTTCTCATTACTGTTTTTCAGAAATTTAACATCTTTTCTCTCTCTTTTTTTTTTTTTTTTTTTTTTTTTTTTTTTTTTTTTTTTTTTTTTTTTTTTTTTTTTTTTTTTTTGTTTTGTTTTGTTTGGTCATTAAAAGCATTTTTTCTATCATTCTCAGAGGAGCTGAGGAAGCCTTCCCTCCTCAGGGCTCTTCCAGCTTGCACAGTCCATCTGAGCAGAGTTGGCACAGGGCTTCCACAGACAAAGCCTGATTTCCACTAAAAGAACTGCATTTTGCAAAATGTCTCTGGCTTACAAGGCAGGGAAATTTGAGAGAAAGGCTTTGCTTGCTCAGTGACCCTTAGGCTGTCTTTTCCTTGTTTAGAATTAACTTAACACTTCCCCATCCATCTCTGTCTAGAACTCAGATAAACTTCAGGTAAGTGAAGTCACACCACCAGTAATCTCCCAGGAAAAATCATTATGAATTACTCCTTAAGTTTCTGATACAGTTTTATTTTCCCTTATTCTAAAACCAGACATGCTTCTTCTGACTTTCATAGCACCAGGTCAGGAATAACTACAAAGATGATAGCAGAGAAATCGGATAAGCAACAGAGCTACAACTTTCACTGCCTAAAGGACCCACAAATTTCCTTAGGTTAGCAGCTGAAATGTAATTTACATTATGGACAAAACCAATTACAGCTGTCAGCAAATTAATTATTTTCATTTTGAAGAATTGGTGATATTCTAAACTATGGAAACAAAATATACAGGGCTTATAGTTCATTCAAGTAGTACAGCATAGCTATCACTCAAACATTTCAGGCCTTATACCAGCAGAATTGAGAAAGACAAAAATATTATTCATGCAGAAGAATTGCTTCCCCCATGTTTGATTCTTTGGTCATCATTTAAAAATGACTCACTACATTTTTCCCTTTTGAAGCCTGGTAAAAAATTTGCTGTAATCCAGAACTTAGTATCAACCTAATGGTGATTTTTTACAAATGATTTATACCTAACCCTCAGAAGAAAAGGATTTATAATGAAAGTGATAGCTCAAGCCTAACTGCAGCACAGGGAATGGTGACACCATAATTAATGTATTATTTCAGTTGTGGGAGACACTGACAGTAGCTTTTTGTTCTGGAGAAGAAATTTATAGGGTGATGGAAAAAGGCACCATGGAAAAAAAAATTCACAGAAGAGGAATAGAAATCCTTGTAGCAAAGACATGTCCTTACAATCCCCCTCCCGGAGGCTATAAAATCCTGGCAGTGACAGTGTTTCCTCACAGTCTAATTTATACCTTTCTCCTCTACTAGATGGCAGTGTGACATGCTCTCAGAATTGCTAAGTGAGGGGGTTTCTTGCTTTCTTTCATAGGAAGCAATTAATTTAAAATATCATCTTGCTGGCATAAAAGTAAAAAAAAGAAAAAAAAAAGTTTGTCACTGGCTGTGTGTTTTGAAATCAAATCTGTTTACTTACAGGTTCAACATCAAAGGCAAATAGTGCATATTCCCTGTCAGGTGACACCTCATACCGGATAGCCTTCAAGGAGACCTGGAAAATAAATACAGTTTTGAAACAAATATTCATCAGTTTTCAAGCTAATGACACCTAGAACTAATTTTTATGATCATCTCTCTAAGGATGAAGAATACTGCCAGAATTAAGTGTCTTGAAAAATATAGTATCTTTTTTTTTTTTCAAACCCCAGAAATGTTATGTGGGCACTCATAAGAGAAAGAATAAATGCATTGTGACTCAGAGCAGGCAGCTATATCAAAAAAATCCAGAATTTTCCTTACTGCACAGTGGCTGGTGAGGTTGCAAGTGTAGGCAGTAGTTAGTAGAAAGCTCTGATAAATGGCAATTTATTAATTTCTTCTCATTATCTGTGTTCACTGGCCAGTGCAGGAGATAAAAAAAATGTAAATATCTTCTGGAGCAAATTAGTAATAGAGACATCACTACCTCCCCCAGTTAAGATAACCCATAGGAAAACTGTTCTGTTTTCCCTAGTAAGAGTCTATGGGATGCTGCAGTGATCCAGTGCCCCTGACCTGGGTTCTGCAAAAATCAGCACTGTAAATCTTGCTAACAAGAAGAACTGCCATGGTATCTCAGACTTGCCAGGAATTACCTTTTTCCTGCTCCATTTTTCATTTGTGTAGTGCAGCCATTTCTCCTGCCCAGTATGTTCCAATATAATGCATTGCTGGCACAGATGGCAGCAAGGTCAAAGAGAGGTGCCACTAACACATCACTCATGCACTGCCTTTTAAATCTCACCCTCTCACCTAACAGATTAGATGTGAGTCCTTGAGAGAGTCCCACTGAGCAAAACTGGAAGGGGAATTGGGGAAAGTCCTCCCCAGGGGCAGGGGGGTGGATGTGCTGTGGGGGGAGCCAGAAGCAGAGGGGAGAGGTGGCAGCATCACAGAATGATTTGGGTGGGAAGGGACCTTTAGAGGCTGTTCACCCCAACCCCCTGCAATGAGCAGAGACAGCTTCAGCCAGATCAGGTTGCTCAGAGTCCCATCCCACCTGATCCTGAGCATTTCCAGGGAACAGGCACCCTCTGGGACATCTCACAGGCTGCTGACCCAGATGGGGAGGGATGGGGGAGCCTGGGCACCAGCAGGGCCGGCATGGAGACAGATTTTATTTACAGAAGACAGATTTTATTTACTGTTATGTTAATAACATGGGGAAGGGAAAACATGACCAAGTAGCAAAGGTTTTCTGCCCCAGGGCTGGGAAGGAAGAGGAAAAAGACAACATGTCTGAGTAAATGTAATGGCAGCTCTTGCACTGGGGCTTTGTGGATTAATGCAGGTGGAGGTGACCTGCAGATGTATTTACTGAGAGGGCAGAGGAACAAAGGTAGAACAGGCAGTAGGGTGGAAAATAGCAGGAAAATGTAGGGTTATCTTGTAGCACTGTGCTTTTCTTACAAATGGCAATAATTAAAAACCAGTGGAATAAACAAGAGGCCAAATGGAAGTAATTTGACTTCAAAAGACCTTGACATTAAGGGAAGTCAGCCCATTCCCTCAGAATTGTAAAGAAAGAGGTTACACTCTGGTAAAAGAGGATTTCTTATGTGATGCAGTAAAGTTTGAAGGTTAAATGCAGCATGTGAAGCTTAAGTTTGGGCCCTGACATAATAATTCTGTAATAAATTCTTTGTCTCATTAAAAAATAATTAATACAATTGATGTACTAACCTCTGCCACAATGCTGGTTTCATCTACTACAAAAAAACAATGTTGCAAAACACTTCTATCACTATAAGCAATACTCTGTATCAGATGTGACTTTGTGCTTTCTTTACATTCATTTTAATAGTCACCTACTAACTTCTTCCCACAATTTCTTAGGGTTTTTCTCAAATACAACTCCACTTCTTTTCCTTAACATTGCTCATAAAAACCACTGAAATCACATTTCAACCATTAGGCAAGAAAAATCAGCAAATGCACAAATAAAAAATAAGTATTTGTGTGGAGGAATGTAGAGAATGGCAATAGACAGTAAATGATATCAATTGTCCTTTTTATTAAGCAGCCAGAGATGAGAATTATGCATCTTTCAATTATATATGATATGCAAGACTAGCTGCAAATCTCTATATGATGCTTTCCAGAAGTATGAGAGAAACTGAGCTTGCAGAATAACAACAAAAGCTGGAGTTCAATCTCACATTATCCATCACTGCATAGCCCATTGTATCACCAGTGAATTGCTTCTCCTTGACAATACATGAAGTTGAAACCCAAGTCATTTTCTGCTTTACTGATCCAACTGCAAGAGAGCTGTGAAATTCAGCTACTTGTCATAGAAAATACTTACAATTTTTTTGTTTTCTATTAATATTGTTGAACTGTTGGTTTCGACATTCCTCAGAATCACTGTGCCATTCTGGTTTCTATAAATGAATTCATTATCTGCAAGGAGGAAAACAAAAGGTCATTAAGGAAATCTGAAATTGTGTTTGTGCGGAACCTAATTACGGACTTAAAACCAAAAGTACTGCTGGGAACTTCTTTCTGAAGAACTCAAATTATTTTTTAACACAGCCATTGCTAAAAGTGGCTTTGAGGACATCTCAACAAAAAGCTATAAAATGATGTGGTTGGTGTTTGTCACGTTTGTTGTGCCACACTTTCCCTTAGATGAATGCAAGAGTGACCTGGTTTGAATGTACATACACAGCTTGCTATATAGTTAGTGTAGAAAACAAGGTCAAAAAACCCCATTCTTTATGATTAAAGGTTTCTGACTTCCACAGTCTCTGTAGGAGTTTAATAAGCCTGGAAAGTCTCTGAAAGTGAAAGGCAAATGACCCCCTAACAAAGCAGATTCTGGAACCTAATATTGTGCACCAACTCTGACATTTATTCTGCAGAATTATACCAGCAGGAGAAACATGCAGAGAAATCACCATTTTCACATGAAACAAGGCAAATCAACTTGTTTCTGTGCACTTTGGGACCACTCCAGCTCTCAAGACAGGTGGACAAGAAGAAAAATACTGGAGACAGTGTCCCGCTCTCAAAGCACACAACCTGCCTGACAGAAAGGCTGGGGCAGACATTTGAAAGGGACTCCAAATGAAGGTTAGGTAGCAGGTCAAAAGTTCAGGATGAAAAACATTACAACAATAAAGGGATGTCATAAACTGAAGTTCAGGTCTGGTCAGTGCTTACATGCACTGCCCTGCAGATAAAACATAAAACCTAAGTCCCAAGCACTCTGCCATTAAAGGAATCAGCTGTTTTTCTTGGCACAGGACTAGGGTTATGATTTATTTGCAACTTGGCTAAACTGAGAACTGATGGATCCTACCAAACCTCTGCTTCCAGTTTCATTTAGGGAAACAATTCCTCACCACCTACCATTATGGTGGCTGCCCCAGGAACGTCACCATGATGCAGCAGGAGCTGGGGACATGTGGATGGTTTAACTTTACCCATGGGTTGTCCTGGGATGAGTCAAAGGTGAGTTTAAAGCCTCTAGGATAGGTACAAGCACAAACCCAGCTCACTGTAACTGCAGAGGTGTGTGCTGCTAAAGGCAGCACCGGGTTTGGAGGCTTGGTTCTTTCAAAACTTGGGTGTACAGACCTAGCATACTCCTTATCCATGTTCCAGTCTTTTATTTCCAACCTGGTGATGATATTCCTCAGCACAGTCACTAACCGGCTTTATAAATTGCTCTGAAGGTGCAGATGAAAATCCTCTATGCTCTACTTATTGCTGCCAATATAAAAAAAAATCTCCTCCTCCACATCACAGATTTACACAGATAAGTGGAAGAATAAGAAATCTTCTCTGAGATTGGGATGAATCAGATTCTTGAAGGGCAAATAGTTGCTGCAATACAGTTGATCCCCTCAAAACCACAGGGTTTTAGAGACTTTAAGATTCTCATAGTCCAAATCAGAGCAAAAGCCCTTTAGACTCATAGGCAAAGTTCTCAAATCATAACTCTTTTTTAAATTATGGAACAAATTTTTTTAGAAACTTCTGTCTTGAATTAAAAAAAAAAGAAAAAAAAAGGATTTTAATTAGATTGATTATATTTATCTTTAAAGTATTCCTTCATACAATTTATGACTGAAGAAACTAAGCAACTTAAACTTGAGAAAGAACTGACTGAACAGAGCCAGGACAGAAGTTTAAAAAGTCATAAGTAGTACGGAGAAGGTAAATAAGGGATGTTTATTCCCTGCCTTTTCCAAAATAAATACTGGAAGGCACCAGGTGACACCAGCCAGTATCAGGTTCAACACAAATAAAAGGGATTATTTCTCCATGCTGAAGGCAAACAAACTGTGGAAGTCACAGTCCCAGAACAGAGCAGGTGCCAGGGCTGCAGGAGGATCCAAACTAGAATTAGAAAAATGGAAGAAAAATCCATCAACTATTATTTGTCTTGAAGGGGAATGCTTTTCAGGAAGTCCATGAACCAGCCCTTGGGAGGGACTAAAGGAATATCCTGAATCCTCAACTTGAGAGATTTGCCTGCTTTTCAGAATCCTCCCTAAGTATTTGCCCTTGTCCAGGGCCATATGCCAGAAGAGACAACCCCTGGGGTCCGATCCAGCACAAAATTATTTACAACTCCAACTTCCAGATTCTGTTTCCAGATCCTTAAGGAAAGTGTTTATGCCAACAATTTAGGAAGTAAGGCAATAAAAGATTTAATGCTTTGTACATACCTGGTCTTTATATACTCAGGCCACAAAGTCTGAAGCATTATTTGTTATAAGAGGAAAGAATGCAGCCTAAATTTTTATTTTCCAGAAATATTTCAGGCATTTCAGAAAAAAAAACCCAGAAAAATTAAACTGAGAGACAGACTATTACCTAATTATCAGACATGCTGAAAAATATTGCTGCTTTAATAATCACCTTCTGTCAACAACACAGAATGTTTTCCAATTACACACTAAGTTCCAGAGAGAAAAAAATCATGTTTTAAGCATGGCCAGCAAAACATTTGGATAGCTCTCAGGATATTTCCTAATTACAGAAAAGAAAAGAGCAATGAAATTCAGCTCCAAGTTCAGAACATAGGTAAAGTAGCTTATTAATCTAATGAGTGTGTGAAGCTGTTTCTTGAACATTGCAGGAACTGATGGAATTCACATTACTGCCCATAATGACATTGCTACCAAATTTTATTGCTCCTTATGCTCCAAAAAGCCCCATAACATTTTAATAAACTATGAAACTTCAAGATTACATAAAAGTTGCTCCATGGTTGGAAGCAGGAGATAACAGACTTTCCCATTATTTGTTAAACCATAACAAGTTTAAAATCAGGTGCTAATCTGCCACATGTACTTTTAGAATGCATTAAAAAAAAAAAAAGAATAAATGAAGCAGTGCTGATTTGTTAGGGCTCTAAATCTTGCCATTATATTCAATACCAGCCATCAACACACTGTCTGAGTTAATGAACAGAAAATTGGTCTGCTTAACAGGAGAACAAATTGATCTGCATTATGCTCCAAACAAAACACTGTGAGGTTTAGCTGGGTCTTAGTCCTCAAAAGATGAATAATATTCCTGGACTTCTGTTTTGAAATGTGTGATTTATTCCAGTGCAAGAGCATTTATTTAAATGGGACACACCTCAATCAAAGCCAGAAAGCAATGCAGTGGCCTCTGCCTGTAATGAATTCTGTCCAGCAAGCTGATGAGAATTTGCAGCCTGATTTATAGTTGTCACCAGAGCTGATAAAGGTCATCACTGCATCTCATTTTTTATATCTGCCTTTCTTTGGGGCTAGTGTTCGATATAAATGATGCCAAAAATTGTAATTTTCAGGCATGCAGCCATTTGTTCCATTTCTTCAATCTTTCTTGGATTTTTTTCCATCTGTTCTTCACTAAAGAAGTCATGGATGTCCCATCCTTGGAGGTTGGTTGGAGCTTTGAGCAATCTGGTCTAGTGAAAGGTGCCCAGTGGGGATGGAACTGGGTGGTCTTTAAGGTTTTTTCAACCCAAAGCTCTCTCTGATTCTATGGTTCAATAGCAAAGTTCACTTTTCCAACTCCTCACCCCTCTTTCAACTTCCAGGAAATTGTCTGGGTGGTATATCACGTTTTCTGACTGTGAATGTAGACACAGGTATGTAGTCACACTTGGAAAAAAGTGACTGGTTGCAAAAAAACAATGATTACCAGAAATAATGGATCAGCTTTGGGGCTCTACAGAGGCAGTGCAGAGGAACAGGGAGGCCTGGGGAGAAACTTTTAAAAACCTGCTAAACAGAACAGGTGAAATCATAAACCCCATCTGCTTCTCTGTCTTGAATTCAGTCAGAAAATTCACAGGCAGAGGAAACAGAGCCAAGGAGAGGGAGCTCATGTCCCCTGAAGTCACTGAGCCCTCAGCAGGAGCAGCACAGACAGACTGGGCACCAGACAAAACAACTCACAACCATGGACAAGAGGGTTTGGGACAACTTCACTTCTAGCAGGAGTAAATTTGAGTGCTGGCAGTGCAAAGAATTTGAAAGAACTACATCCATTGACAGGAACACAGCATCAGTGCCCAAAAATTTAGTGTAGTAAAGCTTTTCTGAAGTCCACATTACCAGAGAGGAAAGATTGGCTTAAGCCTGTGAGGGAAACTTTTATTATTTGTCAGAGATTATGGAAAGCAGAAAGGAAAACTGAGCAATAAAATATGAAAACAAATAGCTATTTAAATCCAGCTCTAAAAATATTTTAATGAAATTGTATTTTAATAACTGATGAATGAAAAGTAGACAATGAAATTCACATGCAGCTAGTCAACAGCAAGAGACAGTGAAAGAGAGAAGGTAGAGTTAGAATTGTTAGGGCGACTCCAGTCTTTTAGATCAACAGATTTGAGGAAAAGCCAACTTCTTGAGTCCTGGTCAACAGACATGAAAGATAAATTGAATGAATCTCAGTATGATGAAAGCCAGCATCGAGGGAATTGTCATTTTCAATCCCTAAGATTAAGGAAGATTGGTGAATAAAGGAAATTTAAGTCCTGAAGTTGTTCTAAGCTATTTCAGATAAATGAGCCTCCAGACACCAGCAGTGTTGACAAACATTTTGCCCTGTGTCAGGAGAGCAGAGATCAGCAAGTCCTGTGGGACCTTGTGTGTCCCCTCCCAAGGGACAGAGGTCACTTTGCCCCAGGCCACGTGCAGGGATGCTGGGATGAAGCTCTGCACTGGCACACCAAATGTCACAGGGCCACCAAGAGACCACTGGCACCCCTCTGTCCTTCCTCATGGGGGAAAAAAGAAAAGTTGTTGTGGGGTTTTTAATGACCCAAAGCAGTCAGATCTTTGGTGTTTTGTCTTACATCTGAAGGAGTCTTGCAGGAGCCCAGCATGGTGCACAGCATCACTCAGCCCTTGGCCAGGCTGAGCTCACCTCACTGAGGTGACAGCAAC